AAACTCTTTCCTTCTTTCTTGCCTGCAGTAAAATTATTTGTAGTACATAAACTCTTTGTTCTCTTAGAACAGTAGCTTTTGTAAGGTGAAAATGTAGCTGATTAATCAAGGTATTAACAGGAGTAGATTTTTAGATTGTTCTGATTGCATGGATCCTGTCTTCTATTCACAGCCCTTAAGTCTTTCTCTGCTTTGAAACACTAAAAAATGGCTTTTTCCTCTAAGACAAGAACCATAAGGTTGGAAAATCACCCTCCACCCTGCACTATATGTGCAGAAATACATTACCTTTACTATTAATATCTTTTCCCATATTCTTTACGTACAATGGATTATTTCCTTTTAAATAAACAGGCAGAACCCAGTAAAACAAATACAGGAAGTTTTAAACTATTAAGGAGATGTTGAGAGAGCTGTAATTCAGTGAAATCCTTGGATGGGTGGCTCACTGGCATGGGCAGCCTCATCAGTGGCAGAAGCTTTTTGACATTAAATTATTTTGCAGCCATTGGGTTATGATGGATTTTTGCTTTGGCTGATGGGATTTGATAAGGATTTTGTTAGGAGAAGGATGCAGACTTACTGCATCAGGAAGGGTGGCAGAAATGAAGAAGCAAATTGCCAAACTGATGTATTCCCCTTAAATTTAAATCTAATATTTGAAGCTTTGATTGAATTTTAATTCAAAACTGGAATCAATAGCAAGCAGGTTTGAGATACTCAAAAGAAGGACTCTCCAAGAGTTCAGGACTGGTTGTTTTTTTCCTGTAATTAGGATGAAGAAGCAGATCCCCTGGCATTTCTTGATCATCCTCAAACTCAACAAATGTCAGGAATTGCTTTTTTTTTTTTGCAAGTCCCTGATGCTCTGTGGCACCATCAAAACAGGGCAGCTGTTTGTGGATTGTAGCTCATGTGATGATGCAAATATCATGACTTTGATGAAGTTTTTTTAGGATAAATGTATGGAGAATGGGAAGTGATGAAGTTTTTAGGATAAATTGATGAAGAATGGGAATTAAATGAGCAAGGTGGTGCTAGGTCATATCTTTGGTGGGGTGGTATCAACACCTCCAAGGGAGTCACCTGCAGGTAGTGACTCTAGTGCATTAATACATTCAGAAATTCAGATTTTGTGGGTTAGAATTCTGTGATTGGTGCAATTTGGGGTCCTCTGGCAGTGAGTTTTAGTGTTTGGAGGCATTTTGTGGTTCCCTCCTGGCCCAGCATGGGAGCAGGAAAACCTCCTGTGACACCTGGGTGGGTTCTTCATTTCCTCAGAAGTGACTTCTGTGCTGTGGAAGAACTAAACAGAGCATTTCCAAAATGTGCAGCAGTGGCTTGGCTAGAAATGGTGGAAATTGGACCAATTTGGGGTCTGAGAGAAGGCAAGAGAAACAGGGGAAAGAATTGCAATGCAATTTCCTGCTGTTGCCTGTATTTCCATCACACATAGCTCAATTAACACTTTGTTAATCTGAAAAGGATCAGGAGATTCCTTTCTTGGAGGAACTGGGACATGTCCCTGATTAATGCAGGACTCTCTTGGTTTAAAAAAAAAAATCCAATTGCAGGATGTGTGAGGCCACATTCGATTTGCCAGCTGAATATGTTATTTGTGCCTTGATTCTCAGAAATATTTGAGGGGAAAAGAAAAAAAAAAAAATCATGAGACTTCCATGCTGTAGCCTAATGGAAATCCCCTGTTAAATCAGATGCAGAGGGGATTATTGTTAATATTTTGATATTGGTGTGGTGGGTTTATATTGTAAAAGCAGAGTGAAGGAAATGGAAAAACCTGTGGAGGGGAGATCCATCAGAGATAGGGCTCTGATGGGAAGGATTCAGTTCTCCATAATACTGAAAGGGAAAACAGGGTTTGCTCTCTGGACTTTTCTGGAAAACACAGATTGTTTTCTGGGAGGACATGGAGCATGGAAATGCTTTGCTACAGTTGTTTGGTTTTGTGGGTTTTCTTTGGTTTTGTTTGGTTTGTTTTTTGTTTTTGTTTTTTTGCTGGTTTTTTTTTTTGTAAGCCTTGTTGATTCTCAAGATTTCTCTGCCTTTTTTTATTTTTCTCTTCATCATCATGGATATGAGTTGGATTCTAGGATGTCAGGCCAATGTCCAATGGAGTTTTTGGGGGTGTTAGGAGCAACAGAACATATGAAAATTTGAATTATTTACTAATAGTAGGGGGAAAGCTGCTTACTGCAAATTTAAATGAAATGACAATCTTCCAGTTTGCTGTATTTAGCAGTCTGGTGAGGTTAACTTACAAATGCTGTGTTTATGGTTTTATTTATTTAGGAAAACTCCAGAGGTTGGCTGATGTTTCCTTTCAAAAAATCGTATTTTTTTCTACCTAATATCAAAATTAGAAAGTATTTTGACACAGATTTGTAGGTACTGCAGTGGAAGGGGAGAATGAAGGTGGAGATGATGCAGGAGCTGATCAGAATTCTTCCAGTTTTCCATAAATCACGAATATTTTGGTTTGGAAGAAACCTTAAATCCCACCCAGTGCCACCCCAGCCATGGCAGGGACACCTCCCACTGTCCCAGGTGCTCCAAGCCCAATGTCCAACCTGGCCTTGGGCACTGCCAGGGATGGAGAAGTGTCCAGCCAGCACCAGCACCACCAAACCATGGCCTGAGGTGCCACATCCTCGTGTTCTTGGAACACTTCCAGGGATGGTGACTCCAGCACTTCCCTTGGCAGCCTCTTCCAATGCTTCACAACCTTTTTGTGAGGAAATTTCTCCTCCTAGCCAGCCTAAAAAACCAAAATTTGGACAGAGGAGTGTGCATTGTGCCTCTGTCAGTGACCTTCATCCTGAGCACCCTGACCCAACTGCATAGGGATGGGGATTGATGTCCTGCAGCTTCATTCTTTTATAAAAATAAACCTTCTCAATGCTGCTGCCTGATGAATATGATAAACAAGGCTGCAAAGAGGAGTTGAAGTCACTCAAGGTTTTATCTGTAAAGCTCAGTTCGACTTGGAGAGAGCTCAGAGGGTTCAGACAGTTCTCTGCTGCTCCCTCCATCCTGGGTTTTGTTCTGGTGGAAAAGCTGATCCCAGAGTTGTTACAGTGCTGGAGCTCATGGTGTGAGGTTCAGTGCATCTGGTTCAGGGCTGTCACACCAATAAACATGAAGAATGTCTGCTGCTTTGCCATGTGTGTAAACTTTTGCTGCTTGTTTGTTGACTTCTGCAATGAGGTGCTGCTCCAGAGAAGATCTCCCACATCCTCGAGGAGGGAGAAGGAACATGGAGAAAGTTGCCTGGGGAAGGAGTTTCTTTGTGATGCCTCCAAACATTTGATTATTGATCAATTGGGCTTGCAGTCAAAGTAAAGAAACCTCAGGGAACCTGCAGTTCCTGAACTTCTCCAAGCTGAGTGAGGCTGCTCTGGTTGCTGCGTGTCTGGAATGGAGGAATTGCAGAAGAGCTGCCCAAAATTCAGGGCTTTAGGTTTACTTTTGCTCTAGTTATGCAAAACTGTCAGCTTGATGGTTTTTCTGCTCTCTCACACTGATTATATTACTCACAGATGTGACTTCATTCCACAGCACTTTATAATGGGATTTGAAAAGATTCTCTTATTTGGAAAACAACTAATTATTGTACAGCTGTACAGTGAGCAGTGGGCAGCTGGAAGTCACCCTGCAAGGACCTTCCTGCCTCCTGCTGCACCCCTGCTCTGTCATTCCTGGAATTCCAGAATGGTTTGGGTTGGAAAGGATCTTAAATCTCATTTCATCCCATCCCCTGCCATGGACAGGGACACCTCCCACTGCACCAGGTTGCTCCAAGCCCCATCCAACCTTGAGCACAGGGAAGTAAATGAAATAAATCCCAGAAATGTTTTGATCTCTCAGTGTTGCAGGAAACCTCATGGAATTCAACAAGTCAAGTGCAAGGTCCTGCCCCTGGAGGGACAGAACACAGGGAATGGCTTCCCAGAGGGGAGATTTAGATGGGATTTGGGGCAGGAATTGTTCCCTGGCAGGGTGGGGATGGAATTCCCAGCTTTGCTGTGGCTGCCCCTGGATCCCTGGCAGTGCCCAAGGCCAGGCTGGACATTGGGGTTGGAGCACCTGGGACAGTGGGAGGTGTGGAAATAAGTGGTTTTGAAGGTCCCTTCCATCCCAAAGAGTCACAGGAACCTTTTATTCTGTGTTTGCTGATGGAGTTACCTTGTGCTGCCTCGCAATTTCTCAGTTGTTCCCTTTTTTCCCAGTTTCACATGAGCTGTTTGGAGCACAGGATGTTTTTTTTTTTTTTTGTTTTGGTGTCTGGGTGACTGCAGTGGACACACTGGTGGTGTCCTGTCCTGTCCTCCTGCAGTGCTGGTACCAACCAAACTGTGACTACAACTCACACATCCACACTGGGGTGGTTTTTCTAGGCAAGATGAATTTGACAAGTCTGTTATTGTTGGTCTTGTCCAATATTGAGAAATACTTGGCAGCTGTTTCCAACTACATCCTATCAGTAATCGTAAAACCAGACTGGTAACAATGGGAATAAAAATATGCTTCTTTTCCTAAGGAATGATTGATTTTTTCATATGTTTTCTTTTCCAGCAGACATATTCTATTTGTGTTCCAGCTGTTATTTGCATAACACTGCTGCTCTAAACCACTGAATCTACTTTGTTGTCACAACAATCCTGTTTTAAATAAGTGTCACAACACATCGGATTTTAGCTGATAAACCAGCCATGAAACTGCTGCTATTTCACATTTTTATGAAGATCATATGCTGCTAGTTAATGTTTTTTTTGAGACTTTGATTTAGGTGCTGACTTGTGAGGATGGATCATTTTAAGTTGGAATTTTGAAAGTGAATGCCGTAGTTGAGGAAACTTGAAATTCGCTGTTTTCTTGCTTTGTTTTTTTTTTTTTTTTTCAAATTGCTTTTGAAAAACTACTCAAATCTGTTCCTTGGTGCAAATTCCTGCAGTTAAAGAGGATTTTATTTCCTTGAACAGGTGAATTCCAAGCAGGGAGGATCTCCATGCAAGGAGAAACACGTGCTTCTGCTCAGCCCCGTGGGAAAGATCGAGATCTCGGGGTGTGAAACAGGAGTACATGAAATAAAACTTCCCAAAATGAGCGTGCTGCCAGCTGGGTGAGTTCATGTCCTATTGATCCTGTGCTTGTGCTCGTGCTGAGGGAAGCAGATTGCCCAGAGGATCTGAGAGCACACTTCTTTTTGTTAATCATACTGGGAGGAGGCTCTTGTGCCCTTAAGGGCTCCAAAACACATCAATTCCTCTGCTGCCTCCAAAATAGTATCAAACATTTAAAACCAGAAGTGGTTTTAATGTAAATTTTGAAACCAGAAGTGTTTTTAATGTAAATTTTAAAAGCCTCCCTTAATTTTTGGCACACTCATGAATGTCACTGAGGGTCAAATCTCCGTGCACGCCTCACAAATTTTGCAGACCTCCATCTATTTTTATTTTTTTTTATATTTTTATATCTAGATCTAGGCTCCAGCAGGTAGGTGCAGGAATGACTGATTGTTTTAATTACTGTGTGGTACTCGTGAGAGCTCGAGTTGTTTTCCCAGAGCTGTAATGTCTTCTGCAGTTTGGAGCAGATCCCACGTGGCACTGGGGATCATGTCTCCAATCCAGGCCTGGCTGAGGAAGCATTTTCCTGTTTCTTGTAAGTTGTGTTCATTCTATTGGAGTCCATCTGTCCTGCCCAGATCTTGGATTTTTTTTTTTTTCCTTATTTGTGAGGAAATGTTCAGTGCCATTTTTAGAAGGAACATTGAATTCGTATTGAATTAGATGCTAAATTTCTATGCCAAATTTCTTTGCCAAAATCAAGACTTCTTAGACTTTCTCAGACTTCTCTAAGGCTGGTCTTTCAACTGGGTTTGACAATTAAATTCCACTTTTCCACAGTCTACTACATCGATGCTCCCACTGACAAGACAAACAGGTTTGGCTTCTTTTCTCAACATTGTCTTTTTTTCATCCTGTGTTTGCTTCTGAAATTCTCCATGGATTTGTAGCATGCCTGTTTTCCTATTTTATTCCTTGTAACTGAAATGGGTGTAAAATTAATCAGGAATATGGAGCATAATGTGTGTTCTGGTTGAAATATGATTTTGCCTCCCATGCGAAAACCCTGAAGCCTCTGGATTTCACAGTTTTGCCAACTGCAGTGATATGGAAATAACTGCTTCACTTTCTTCAGATTCTGCTTTAAGGGCTGGCTTTCTACTGATGAGGAATGGAAATAAATGGGTATTTAGGAGAGTTAAAACTTGGCTTTGCTGCAGAGCAAAATCTGCCTGGAGAGCAACTCAGGGGATGAGGATCTTCAGCCTGGGAAGGGCAAATGTCAGTGAGTGAGTGAGTGGAATAAAAGCAGGAAAAAGATCTGGGAGCTCTCAGAGCCATTTGTAGGGATGGGTGCTGCTCTTCTACCAGAACATCTGATAAAAAAATCTGGTTTTATTTTACCAGGACACCTGGTTTGTTCACCTGGTTGAAGGTTCTCACGATCTTGTTCTTCAGCAGAAGTTGGACGGTTTAGATCCTTTTCCTAAATTTTTAATTTTCAGCTGTTGTAGATCTTCACTTTTCTCAGTGGGTGAGCTGACTTCACTTCCTCTTGAGGCTTTACTGGCATCTTGGTAACTCTTAACCTCACAGGCTGCAGGATTTATGTGCAAAAATTGCTACATTAGCGGGTCTATCACTCAGGAATAACTCTGAAGTTAAAGGCAACAAGAGTATTTTTATGATTACTTCAAGAATTTAAATCAGAAGAAGAAAGGTGGGACTTCCTTTTGTCTTTAGCACTGATAAAGTTCTAAAAATTTTAAAGCCATGTGTAAATGTTTGTGCTGAAGTATAACATTTAATCTCTTCTGCTCATCGCTGGTGAAGAGTTGTTAAATCTGGCCTCATTATTTTCGACAGAATAAAATAAAAACAAAGCAGTGCCTGGTGTTTCTCCTAACTGGCTAATAAACGCCATGGCAAGAACATTGGGTGGGAAAAAAAAAAACCATAAGAAACATAAAAATTGATTTTAATGGACCCCTGTCAGAGAGAACCATAATGAGCACAAGTCTGGTAATAAATATTGGTATTCTGCTCCACGGTGCTCGGGACTTCTCATGTGGAATTGCATGTAACAATCAATAGAGATTTTAGGGTTTTTTAACAACAAAAATAAGTAAACCTTTGAAATATATAAATACTTAAGACTTGCAATCTGTCAGACAAACCTGGTGGTTGTAGAAAAATCTGATAAGAGCCCCTGGTTAATGGCATAATCGCTTTGTGGAGATCTCGCTCTGTTTTACAGCTTGTAAAATGCTGTGCAATTAATCACCTGAGATTACAACCTCCTCACTGATGGCTCTCCTTAAAACTTAAGAACACAGACTATAATGGAGCCTAAAAGGAGAAGCAACAAAGTAAAACCCGGTTTCAGTATGCTTGAAAGAAATTGATCTATTAATGAGATGAAACTAATTGTAATAACCCGAGGTTATTCTGCTCCTCGGGAAGCTGCCGGGGTTTAAAAGTCCAGACACGTCACAGAGGGATGGTTTCTTTTGGAGAGGAGGCAACTTTATCCAGGCTTTTGGAATTCATGATGTGGATCCCATTCCTGGAGCTGGATGGGGCATGGAGCAGCCTGGGACAATGGCAGGTGCCTCTACCAGGGCAGGGGTGGCACTGGGTGGGATTTGAGGGCCCCAAACCATCTGGGATTCTGTGATAAGGATGCCCTGATCCAAACAGGTCCCTGAAGGTTTGACACGTTAATCTGGACAAGTTTATCTGTTTCTAAGAACTTCAGCTTCACAATTAATATTTAAAAAAAACCCTTAAATGTGTATAAGCTGTGTATATGTATTATATATCTATATAAAAAATGCAAGTTATATAAATTATTATATACAACATATAATAATAGTATGCAATATATATATTACACTGATATATATGTATAATGTATAATGTATAATGTATATGTATATGTATATGTATATGTATATGTATATGTATATGTATATGTATATGTTATTTATATATCAGCTGTTGTCGTTTTTCTTTCAGTGCATTGCCAATCTAATGATCAGTTTCATCAATATTCCATACTCCAACGTCCCTACCTGAAATATTGCAAATGTTTGACACTTCTTGCTCATCTCCAAAAAAATAACTCCCTTTCTTTTGCTGTTATTTTACTTCAAAGTATCTTCAGCTGCTTTGGAGTTTCAGAATTAATTTTTTTGTTGTTCTGCTGTCAGCTGTGGTGGTCCCACACCAGGATGATTCTGTTTTGAGAAGCTTTGTCTCATTCCAGAGGTGCAGGAGTGAATTATCCCCTTGGTGGGCAGGGAATCCCACTCTGGACTTCCATGGGCAGTAACACAATCCATGTCTTTCCTTCTGCTGAATATTTACAGCACAAAATCCTTTGGAAATGTGGGCTGCTGACTTGCCATTGGGATGGCAGCAGGGAGTAGTTTTCTCCCAGTGTTGCAAAAATCCAGATTCTCTCAGGATTCCCTTTTCCCTCAGGAAACCCCCCCCTGGTTTTCCCAGCTCCCTGCCTGGTCAGCGTGGGGCAGGGCTTGTCTGGGCTGCACATGGGCTGGGGCAGGCAGGTACTGGGGGAACTGGAGGATTTTAGTGAAAAGGCTGTAGCACAACATGTTTTGAGGAAAACAAATCAGCTTTCCGTGTGTGGTTGGAAAAATCCTGCTGGGCACATGGGGGGATGGCCACCATCATCCTACTGAGAGTGTGTGTGACATGAAAATGAAATTTGCCATCTGAAAAGTGGGCACAGATCCCAGGTGGTGCCCATAGCCTAGTGTGGAATATCATTTATTCACCTGGGGATGCCACCATGAGTTAAGTTTTCCACTGAAGATCTCAGCTGTGATCTGTCACTGCCAAGGTGACATCCCCCAGGATGGGGATGATTTGGGGACAGCCTCTCCTGGCTCTGGGCTCCTGCACTCTGGGGCTGCTGGGGTTTGGAGCAGCTGGAGTTTGCCAGAGGGGCCTGAGCTCCCATCCTGAGCTTCTCCTGCAGGTCTGCTCCTCCTCCCTGGGCTGGGGAATTGGGTGTTTGTGGTGTGACCTGGATTTGGGAGATTGCAGAGGAGGTGTTGGGTGCTTCCTGCATGTGTGGGGAGGAAAGTTGGGCAGCCTGACTTGCTGCACTGGTGGAATGGTCAAACCCTGCATTTTCCTGGAGTTGTAGGAATACACCCAGACTTCCCTTTGGGCTCTTTCAGAAGCAGTGTGACCTCATCTGCCATCTGTGTTCCCTGCAGGTGATTTGCAATTTGCTTCAGTGTTTCATTTCCCTCCATCTTACCGAGGGAGATCAGAGGAGGAGGAACAAGGAGCCAGTTTGGCCCTTCCTGTGTTATTAATCTGCATCAACCTCAGGGTGAATCTGCAGTTCCAAAGGTTTCACTCAATCTCTGTCCCTGTAACATCATCAGAAACTCTGCAGCATCTCAGGTGAAGCAGCTTTCCAGCTATTAGAGATGGAAGGAAAATCTCAGGTGTGTGCAAAGGCAGGGGATGCAGTGGGGCAGGGAGTCTGATGAGAGCCTAGAACAATAACTTGGAGAGGTGTGAAGCACTCTGTTCATCTCTGAGGTGTTTAATCATAGCCAGTGGTGATGGTTTAAATGTCAACTTTGCTAACTGTTTCATTCCTCATACTGTAAAATTTACTGGGAGTGATATCTCACTTTGATGCCACAAGTGGGAGGCATTTGGGAGAGTGCCACTCCTCCTATTTTTCCACTGAGCATCTGCCAAGCCTAAGAAACTTAGTGGAGCTCAGGGGCACAGTAAAAACCCACGGAAGGAGGTAGGGGTGTGACTGCTCTGCTGCTTGGAGTGGATTCCTGGTTTGCCATGAACATCTGATGTGACTTATGTGAGTAGAGGATTATTGGCAGTGTGGCTTGGAAGAGGCTCCACTCATCCTCATTCAGCTCTTCCTTGATTATTGTGTAACAACAGAGATTTTCTATTTAAAATGGTGCAGGATAAAAGCTGAATGAGCCAGAGAACATACTTGGGGTAAAGAAATGAACGGGTTTGAGATGAGCTCTAAATT